AACCCTTTAATCATGCAGAGGGTTCTTTGAGTGTTCATAGTTCTATATAGAACCGTTTTCTTCACTAAAGAACCCTTGAAGAACCATTTTTCGAGTGTGGAGTGAGGGGCAGGAATAGCCTTTTTTCTTCAGCTGATGGTTTTTCCAGTATTTAACCTCCATCTGACCTTTTTCTTGTGTATGAACTCATCAGCCTTTTTTCTCTCTCACACTTTTTTTCCGCCTGATGGCGCAAAGCTGCGGGTGGAACTCAGCACAGTGACTTCACCTCCTCAAAACGAAGTGTTTTTGTCTCAGTGAAGAGGCTTTTCTGCAGACTCTGGGCCTGAAACCATGTAGGAGCAGCTACTCATACCCTGTGTGTTTGACGCTCAGCCGTCACAGTCGATTATAATCGTGTTAGACTGATCTATCAGTTATTTTATGGTTAATTGAATAATAATAATAATAATAATGGCCTGTCACAATCATTACATAATCACCAAATCAGTCATTTGAGATTATTGCAATTACTTATGCTGACTGTGGTCGTTTTCCACAGCCGTTAGATTTCACAGCCAAGCAAGATCTGATTTGCGTGTTTTGGGTTGAAGCAAATAAATGTAAGAGGTGGGCAATATGGAAAAAAAGTAATATCACAATACATCAAGAAGTTATCTTGATACCTGGTGTGTCACAATAGTTTTTTTTTCATCTAATGAGTTAGAAAAGACAAAATAGTACCAGATACTATAAAAACTACGAATACATTTAAGCAATAAAACTCGAGGAGTGTGTTATCGTGAAATAACATCACGGCTGTGATTTGGTCGCCGTAGATCATCACAGCCGTGATGTTATTGGCGATAACACACTCCTCGAGTGTTCTGTTGCTTTTATACAACAGATAAATAAATAAAGTAATAAATTAATAAACTGGGCCGTGAACGCGGCGTTTAATATGTTTTAATGTTCGCAGTTCCTTCACCAAATTATAGTTCCTTAACGAGCAGCTTGTTGCTACGTCAGAGTAACGAGCTCCGCCCACTCGCTGCACAGCCGGCAGTTCGTTCTCCAGCTCCTCACACTGAATTCCCAAACTGTCATCACCACTGAGCAGCTTTTCAGTCGGCAGCTGTGACAGAAGAACCTAAACAACCTGGAATCAGCCAGAAATGAACCCAATACCATTCGCCCAACGTGTAGTCTGATCTTCAGAGTCTGACCAAATCAGACTGAGCCATAAAACTGCCCCAATATCAAGTTCAGCTCAGTTTTGTCAGTGTTTTCCAGATCAGTATTAATGTTGTTTTGTTCCAGCCAGTCTGTAAAGCATCTTACAGCCCATTTAGTTTGGCGAATGGTGTTGGGTTCATTTCTGGCTGATTCCAGGTTGTTCAGCTGTTCCTCTGTCTCAGCTGCCGACTGAAAAGCTGCTCAGTGGTGATGACAGTTTGGGAATTTAGTGTCGTCTCATCTTCAGAGTCTGACCAAATCGGCTGTCGGTCAAATGTGATCTTAAAAGTGTCCGTTTTCTGTTTGTGGCAAAGTAAGAAGTAAAAACGTTCGAATGTTCTTGAGCGTCTCCTACAGCTATCAGAGTCGTTGCTTAGCAACAGCGTCTCAGCGGAGTGATAGTGAAAAAACTGCAATGTTATGGTGAAATAACAGCACAGTTAGAACGCCACTCAACCAATCAGCTTGCGCGGCCGAAACTAACTGTTGTTTAATGACTTATATTTAATATTTCCACTAAATCCAGTTAAAAAGGGCTGATTTTGCTCTCTTTGTAATCGAACATGTGTTTGGGAAATTGAGAAATATTGCTGATTTCCTCAAAATTCTCAGAAAAGCGTGTTGTGTAATATTTTCTGTACGTCTGCTGGCAGAGTGACTCTACACATAACTCTGTGTATTTGCAGACGATTGTCACAGTATTGATCATACTGATTGAGTGTGGGTGCAGCATTTATTCAACAGTACAGCCAGTGTAGCTAAATGAGGAGGCTAATCAGCCAATTTGGCCATTTCAGGCCTGATTTAATTGTATTTTCTTGTTTCAAACCAACAAGAAAATACAATAAAATGGTTAATCTCAATTATTTATGTGACAGTTAATCGTCAGCTTAAATGTCACGGTCGTGACGGCCTGATCGTGAGCGCCTTTCAAAAATTCCAAAATATTTTATTCCTTTAAAAAGGAAATCTTTGAAGTTTCAGTCGGTTGTTTCATGTTTGGTGGAGTAACTGTGACAGGCCTGATCTGAAGTACAGGAGTGTTTGTGAAAGAAGCTCCCGTCACACTAATTGAAGAAGATGAGAAGGTTTTGTAATTAACAGCGAACGAAGCTGTTATGTTTATAGAGCGTCTGTTAAGAGCTGTTAAATACGAGGTGTGGAATCTGTGTGTCCAGCGCCAAGTGGGTGTGGCTGTGTTACACGTCTGCATTAAAAACTATATCTCATTCTGTAATTAAGTTATTGTTACCGTACACGCTTAAAAAGGGTTCTTCGAGGGTTCTTTAGTAAAGACAATGGTTCTATATAGAACCACGAACACTCAAAGAACCCTTTGCATGCATAAAGAGTTCTTTGCATGGTGAAATCGTCCTTCAGTTTGATGGGGAGTCTGTTTTATATGGTTCTATATAGAACCTTTTGGAAAAGGGTTCTAAAAGCACCACAAATCATCCCTTCCTTGTTACAAGCATGACATCGTAACAGTACGAGAACCCAGGACCATGTTCAAAAAGGTTCTATATTGAACCATATACAACACATTCTCCTTCAGCCAACATGCAAAGTGTCAATTAAGCATGAAATGGTTCTAAAAAGAGTGAATGGTTCTAAAAAGAGCGAATGCCTTCATTAAAGAGCCTTGAGGAAACATCTTTTTGAAAAGAGTGTAACAATAAAAGACCGCTTTTTGGTGCTATTTAGAATCCTTTTCAAAAGGGTTCTATATAGAACCATCTGCAGCATATTCCCCATCAATCTGAAGAACGCTTTAAGCCTGCAAAAGGTTCTTTGAGTGTTTATGATTCTATATAGAGCCATTTTATGTACTAAAGAACCCTTGAAGGACCATCTTTTTAATTGTGTATAGCAGAACCCTTGTTGGTGCTACATAGAACTCTTTTCAAAAAGGTTCTGTATATAGAACCATATCCATCATATTCTCTGTCAATTTGAGGAACATGTTAATGATACAAATAACCCTTTAAGCATGTATAGGGTTATTTGAGTGTTCATGGTTCTATATAGAACCATTTTCTGTACTAAAGAGCCCTTGAAGAACCATTGTTTTGAAGAGTGTAGGCACTCTGTTTGCTGAACTCGGATGTTGTTGATGCCGTTTGCTGGACTCGTTTTAATCCTGTCTTATATATGAGTTACTCTGCTTTACAGTCTAAGCGTTGTTTATCTCTCCTCTGTCGTCAGGCGACCTGTGTTTACATCATAACGTCTAATTAGGAGCTGAAAGGGGAATTTAGCTCCTCTGGTGAGAAAGCAAAAACTAGCCTGTCACATGAAGCTGGATCTGGCTTTGATGGATGTCAGTTTTCACCCTAGGTCAGGGGTCGACAACCTGCGGCTCTTTTACTGTCCTGTTGAGGCTCCACAGCAGAATCAGATTAGTAGGTAAAAATAAAATAATCCTCCTTTACAGTAAAATAAAGCTCTGCTGATCGTTCAACACAGTTTAACAATAAATGGTCTTAAACTCTGGAGTTAATGTAGAACTGCTGATTCACCCTTTAACCCTGAAGATCAGCGCAGACTGCTGGTCACCATAGCAACACAGACAACAGTCTCGCCTAGCTAGTAGCTAACAAAACAGCAAAGAGAGAGATTTAAGATGAACATCGATAATTTGGAGATGAATGGACTTAACAGTGTTTATAATCACTCCAGCTGGTTTCCTGATACGTTTAACCTGCAAAGAGAAACTGAAACACTAAAAAGTCGCAAAGCTGAAGTCAGTTTCTCATTCACCAACTTCTTGTTTGAATTCTCCCGTTCCACCTTAAATGGTGCAGCAGTTACATTCTGGCGCCTCTGGCACCATTTAAGGTAGAACAGGAGAATTCGGTGAATAAGAGGCGACGTCAGCCTCGTAAAAAGTCAAACGCTGGGAGACATTTTACAAGAAACTGTTCTACTTTTGTGGAAAAGTTTCCTGCTGGAGATGTGAGAAAAGCAGCTGTAGCTGAGCTAAAGCTTAAAGCAGAGCAAAGTAAGTCTGCGTTTTCGTTTATATCATATTTTTTAGTCTATACTAGAACATCAGCACAGACTGAGACATATTTACAGCCAAGATGGTGAAACGTTACTTCAGTGAAATGGGTTTGAAATGTTGTGGTAGATTTTTGTTGAAACTTGACACAATGGCTCTTCTTAACGTTTGGGTTGCCACCCCTGCCCTAGCCCAGCCTGCAGTACTGCCCAGTTTGCTGTTTTCCCTGATTGAACGTCAGCTTATCACTTAATTACCAAACCATTCATGCTTTTAATAGCATGTTTTAGGACAGTGGACACATTCAGCTCTACAGGGCCTCAGGAACCTGCCCTGCCGTAGACTCTTTCACCCTGAATACCTCCTTTCTTAATAAGGAAAAATAATAATGGGTGAGTCGTCAGTGTTTTCATCATTGCCTCATGATGATGAAGACCGAGCACATCTTTCCAGTTGCAGATCTTGACTCATTGTGTGTTGTTTTTCAGGGTAAGCAGGTACTTCTACATTTTGACAAGGCTCCTTAATCTAGTCTGCTCATACTCTGCCCAAGAAAAATACAATTACCGTGACGCTCGTTTAACGTGAGCTGTTGCTGTTTTTAAAAGAGCATCATCTTCATACTGTAAAGGTCATTTGTCACTTCTGTGCTCGTACTTTAGACTGTCTGACATATTTCTGCGTTCCTGAGGTGCCAGTTATAAATATGCTTACATGAAGTCACGTTCAGCTCGTATGTCTCTGTGTTTTGTTGGTGGACTTTGACACCGTTCTCTCATTGCAGGCCTTGCCAGAAGATGAATGTCCTCAAAGACAACAAAGACTTGGCCTGTTTCTACACAACCAAACACTCCTGGAGGGGGAAGTAAGTGGCCTGCTGTTCTCTCTTTTCCGCTGTGAGGCCGTCTTGCTGATTGGATTTCATGGGTCTCAGCACGTGGCTGTGTTTTCAGAGCACTGCTGTTTGAACGAGATTTGTGTTATTCGTTTATTTTAGAACCAAGTAGACACAAAATTAGGTGAGGTGGTACCAGCTAGGGCGGAACGATTTTGGGAAAATGTCTAATTGTGATTTTTCTGACTGATATTGCGACTGTGATTTAAATTGTGGTTTATTTTCTACAACTCCATTTCCAAAAAAGTCGGGACGCTGTGCAAAATGTAAATAAAAACCACATGCAATGATGTGCAAATCAGTTAAACCTTATATTTAATTGGGAATAGTACAGATTGTTGGCATCAAATTCAAAATGGGCATACATTTTTCAAAAAACAATAAAATTTCTCAGTTTCAACATTTGATATGTTGTCTTTGTACTATTTTCAATGATACATAGGGTTTAAAATTATTTGCACATCATTGCATTTTGTTTTTATTTACATTCTGCACAGCATCCCAACTTTTTTAGAAATGGGGTCGAATAAATTTTCTATAAATCTATTCCGTTTTTTTACCGAAAAGACCGGGAATATCCACTTTTTCTGACTTGAGACCTGAATGTAGTGCGCCAGAAAGCCAATGAGTTGTGGTTGTGATGTCACACCACATGGAGGTTTGGTTGCCTCTGATTGGTCTAAACTCAGGCAGACAAACTTAAGATGTTTTGGATAATGTAAGCTAGAATTAAAAAAAAATTCAGATTTGCAGAAAAACTTGCAAATTGAAAATTTCACTTTTTTTCTTAAAAAAAAAGTCTTAAATGGCAATTTCTATATAAAAACGATTAATCTTTCAGCCGCAGTACCAGCCAGTAAAAAGTATTAGTAATGGGTTGTCTAGTTTTTAAAATACTTGGTAAAAAAGATGCGTTACAAGTGTCAAGGCTGACCGAACTCCTGAGGAATAGAAGTAATAAGAAGAAACTCTCATCTACTTCCTTTCTTTCTCTCCCTGTGGTTGCAGTTACGGTGGGCAGTAGGATGATACTTTATTGTTTTCTGAGCATATTGTGGATTTCACCAGTTATTAACTTATTAAATGCTGGAGAAAATAAATATGAGTGTTGTGAAAATGTCTGGAAGATAAAATAATCCTTTATTAGTCCCACAACAGGGAAATTCACAGCGCTGCACACAGGGATAACAAGGCACTCAAGAACAGAAGTAACACGAAGAGAATTAATAACGTAATTAACCCTGTAAATTACTTAACAAGGTTGCAGTCTGTTACTTATTGCTGTATAGACAATATATATAATACTATATAAAACTAAATACAAGATAAAAAATATAAACTCTGTCCTTCACATAAACTCTCTTCACAAAGATTAACAATATAAACATTATAAATAAAAAAGCAAAAAAAATAAACTATAAGGATATTTTACCCAAATTGCACATGGAAGTTTATGCATGAAGTATTGATTATATTGCACATGGGAATAGTGATGAATTAACAATATAAACATTATAAATAGAAAAAGAAAAAAAAACTTACACTATACAGATATTTTACACGTATTGCACATGGAGTATTGATTATATGATGATGTTAAGTATTGTGATATAATATTTTTACCATATTGCCCACCCATAGAGTACTAGGAAGAGTTTCCAAAAGTGGAGTTCAAATTATTCAAGAGATACAGAGAAAATGAGACTCCTAACAACCACCCGCAAGACGTGGTAGACCACCGACACTGTTCCTGTCGGATTGTAACAAGCCTGAAGTTGTTTGCGTCTTAAGATGTTTAGATGCGAGAACGCTTTGCCTACCTCGCTCTGAACATTACAGAAATTTACTGTAATTTAATAAGGTAAAAGTTAAAGCTCCATTAACATCAGTTGTTAATCTTTTCAAAAACTCTAAATTCAACACTTTTACAAATGGATTTACAGCATTTCAGAATTAAATTCTTCATATGCACCTGCTAATCTGTCATAATATGCTTTCTGGTTTGATTTTTTGGAAATGGATCTCCATAAGCTATAAGCTCTTGACGAAAGTGTGAGACGCATTTTTTTTCTGCACCTGTTCAGTTTGTATAGACATACAGTGTTTTCACACTCAAAACCAGTACAGTGCTAACATATCTTTACTGGTAATCTTTGGGCTTTGCGTGATTTGTTGAATTACCGTACCGTTACATAGGCCCATGTTTTTGACACATGTGGCTTTTCCATAAACAACCCTGCACCAGTGATACCCTGCTGTGCTTATCGAGCTGAAACACACACTCTCAGAAAAAAAACTGCTAAACAGTCGCCAGGGCTGTGCCCCTCATGTCACCGGGGCTGTGCCCCTCCTGACGCCGGGGCTGTGCCTCTCGTGTCGCTGCGGCGGTACCCCTAGTCGGGCCGGTTACCCGTCGTGTTGCTGGGGCGGATCCCTCAAGGGTTCGTCTTCAGTACCTTTAGTCAGGGAACATAACTGTACCATAATCCGTTGCAGTATTTTTTAAAGTTGTTTTCATGTTTTTTATTTTGTTGTTCTGTTTTCAAACGTTAAGTACATGGTACATTCAGTACATGGTACATTCAGTACATGGTACATTCAGTACATGGTACATTCAGTACATGGTACATTGAGTACATGCCTTTCCTCTGGGAAAACCGTAAGGTTCACAGCCGGACCTTAAAACCACTGTTGTACCTTAATAAACATAATTATACCCTTTTTTCTGACAGTGCAGGGAGCCTGATGCACTAAGCCTTTTTAGCCAGTTTCAGGTGCAGATCAGATGCATTCTGCCCATGTTGTGTATGCACAGTTTATTGGCTGTGTGCACAGAAAAGTGTGAAATGCACTTCTCTTCCTCATGCATGCGCTTTCGAGGGAGGGCTACTCAAAACATTGGCGGAGTGGGTGGCGATAATACACGTGTGGCTAACTCACATATTATGATCAATGTCCTGAAGTTTGAGCCGCCAATGACGTCTGGTTTTGTGCAGATTTTCATCCGAAATTTAAAACAAGACCCAAACTCGTCAGTCTGTGTTAATATGCGTGAGTCTCAGAAGCGTATTGAGAGATTTCTGTCAACAGTGGCAGCAGATACAGCAGTTACACAGAGGCACGAACCTCAAACACATGCTGAAAGAATGTTTACCATCAGAATAACACTGTTTACACTCTCAGGACCAGATGCACATATGAGAGAACACGTAGCTCAGAATGTGCCGTGGCATGGCAGCACTGCGGGCTCACCGTCTGTGTATGTATTAGGGGTGGGACTCTCTAGGCACCTCCCGATTTGTTTCGATTACGTTTCAGAGGCTGCGATGCGATTATAAACCGGTTATAGAGGCATCTTGAGGCATCTTTTTTCTATACAGGATTTGTTTTTTCTCACTGTGTGAGGACTTGGTGCTTTTAAAGCAAAGTATTTGTAATGATCCATAATGAATTTAATTCCAGTATCTTTTATTAATAAAACAAATGGAAATTAACTGGAAGGCTCTCATTCACTGCTCTTGTTTGGAGCACATGAGACGCTGCTGCCACTCATCTGTGATAAAATGCGCTGTTATGGTGACGTAAGACCCAGTGGCGACGGACGTCCACGCAGCACATTACAGCCGTCTAACCCGTTTTCTTTAGTGATTACATAACTTCGGTTTTGGTCTCGTTGTAGAGACTTCAGCCTCGTAAAAAGTAGAACATTGAGACATTTTACAAGGAACTGTTTCCTGCTAGAGATGTGAGAAAAGCAGCTGCTGCTGAGCGAAAGTGTACAGCAGAGCAAAGTCAGTCTGCGTTTTTGTTTATGTCATAGTTTTTATAGTCTACACTAGCACATCAGCACATACTGAGACATATTTACAGCCAAGATGGTAATATGGACGCAAAATGTTGTGGCTCCAAAAGTGGTTTGATTTTTGTTGAAGGGACAAAATGACTCCTAATAACATTTGGCTGGTGACCCCTGACCTAGCTTTTAATGTAGTGTGCCGCCACAGACTGTCCGGGTGCTGCACTTCCGCACTTACAAGTTCCGCCTTTCGTGTTGGGTCAACATTATGTTATCAATTAAATTCAGCATTGGCCACATCCGCATCGCGATGCATCCAAGAATCGTCCCCCCGCCCCACCCCTAGTGTCTATCGTTTCATAAATAAAGGACCCCTGTAGAGTGTTTTGGTGAGGATGATTTTTATTTAGTCACTGAAATTTCGTTTTCTGTTTGGTCTCCGGTTTGCTGATGGCTCCTTTATTTCACTGCACCTTTTAAACCTTGCACCTCACAAGCAGACATTCAGTAACTAGTAACGAGGCTATGTACAGTTTGCATGATCGGCTGCAGTCTGATTAGATTAGATTAGATTAGATTCAACTTTACTGTCACTGTGCAGAGTACCGGTACAGAGCCAAAGAAATGCAGTTAGCATCTAACCAGAAGTGCAAAATACAGTATTATTTACATACAAAGTGCAGGAAAGTAACCATGGTAAGCGATGCAATATGTACAAATAAGCACGGTAGAGTGGTAGTAAAATATAGATATTGCAAGTATAAATATATATACATATCTATACAGAGTGAATGTAAAGAATGCAGATGTAGACAGTCTGTACTGTGAGAATCATATGTAAAATGATAAGAATGCAGAGTAAAAGCATGTACAGACTGTGTAAATATGAATAGAGCAGTAATACTGTACCGATAGGAGTAGGCCAATAATACCAGGAAATAAGTATTATTAAATCGAGCACTAAATTCAGACCCGTAGTGGCTGCATATTGCGGTTGCCTAAGGCGCTTGTAGTGTTTAGCTCAGAAAACGATTAACGTTTTTCGAACCAAGCCTTTAACGGTTAACATTCTTGGGAAACAAGATCCCACAGCTCGCCGACCTGTTTCCTATTGGCTGACGCTTCTGACAGAGTTAAAACTCACATTGATGAAACTTTATGTGAAGCGAAGTTG